TTGAAAATTTTGAATTTTTAATTTCAGTGAATATCTCCTCGATTTTCATGCTCGCTTGATATTTTTTTGGAAATTTCGAATTTTTTAATTTCAGTGAATACCTCCTCGATTGTCATGCTCGCCTGATATTTTTTTGAAAATTTCGAATTTTTTAATTTCAGTGAATACCTCCTCGATTTTCATGCTCGGCTGATATTTTATTGAAAATTTCAAATTTTTGAATTTCAGTGAATACCTACTCAATTTTCATGCTCCCTTGATACTTTTTCAAAAATTTTGAATTTTCAAATCTCCGTGAATACCTGCTCGATTTTCATCCTCCCCTGATATTTTTTTGAAAATTTCGAATTTTTCAATTTCAGTGAATAGCTCCTCAATTTTCATACTCCCCTGATACATTGTTAAAAATTTCTAATTTTTGAATTTCAGTGAATACCTACTCAATTTTCATGCTCTCCTGATACTTTTTCAAAAATTTCGAATTTTTGAATCTCCGTGAATACTTCCTCGATTTTCGTGTTCCCCTGATGCTTTTCCAAAAATTTTGAATTTTCCAATTTCCGCGAATACCTCCTTAATTGTCATGCTCTCCTGATACTTTTTTGAAAATTTCGAATTTTTCAATTTCAGTGAATATCTCCTCAATTTTCATGCTCGCCTGATACTTTTTCAAAAACTAAACCGTGCTGTACTCTGCTGGTTTGCGATAGCACCAGGAGAACGGAAGAGTCGATAAAGAATCATTGGGCTGGTCATGCAATTGCTTGTATGTTGGATATCGAATTGTCCAGTTGGACTGCTAATGGCCAAGGACAGGTGATGCTCAAGGCCACGATACTTATTGGACATTGTGTACCTGACAATTTTATACTTCGACCCGTACACGTTGCACGAATGCACTGATGATTATTGATCTCAGGAATTTGGTATAGTTCGAGTGATTCTCCGGGATCATTTGAATTCTAATGAGCGTGTAATTAGGACTCACGTCGGGATGTGCTCAGTGGAATTCCGACTGGGTGACTCGCATGTATATTTTCAGGGACCATTGGGAAGACTTGGGTTGCGAGAAATTTGGAAATTATTGGGAAAATAGTATTCGGTGATTTAAACACGTGCTTTTGGATTATCAGTAATGACAGGTGTTGTATACGCGGAATGCACTTCACTGCAATTTCCCGCATGATTGCTGGATTATTCGTATGAATACCTGAGTGTTGTTATTTGAATGATTAAGTTATTGCTGTAGTTAACTGGAAACGATAAGTTTGAATTTTTTTTTCATTGTGGCAAAATGTTTTTTTCTTTATATAGTCAAGTAACTTTTGCTAATTAGTTATTCTAATGATGCGTATATTTTTCAATGTTTACTTGTGCTTCGGTGTTTATCCCTGGCAGTATGTATCGACTGGTGTCAATGCGAGTTGATGATGCGATGATAGCTCAAGGCTGTAGCAAATTCTTCAAGCGATTGAGGTCATAATCGATGACTTCCGTTTGTATTAATAGTTTCATTCTAATTCAAATCGCAATTCAATCGTGTGGATAATTTATGCAGCAGAAATGAAGAGGATAAACTTTTCAATCCACAACTTCCGTACCGATTTTCTAATTGTATTCCCGATTCATTATGACTGATCGTCCTCATGACTGAGTAAGTTTAGATGCAAGCATTTAATTTTCCCTAATTTACCATGACCTTTTACAAATGATTCATAATCCAATCGATCCCGGAAAACCTCGTATCCCTCGCGTGATTCGATAATGATACCGTCACATCATACATCTTCATCAATTCCTAAGAGAATTCATGAATAATTCCAGGAGAAATTCCGATTGCAACCCCTCATTACGGCATCTACAGATTATCGATCAAATGATTGTGTTAAAAATTGGAGTCGTACGTACGGTTCGATAAATTATACAATTTATAACAATTCAACTTTAAAATTGAATTCAGATTATCCGTTGTTTTTTTATAATAATTGGAGACGTCAATGATTAAGGTATTTTCGGGTATTTTTTAACACTTGGTGTATGAAACATGCAACAAACCTGGTGCATCGGATTCTGGTGTTTCCGCTTCCTGGAGCTCGATATGTTCTCTGGTTCTTCCTCTTCCCCGACCGATGGAACCGATCCTAATGCCAACATTATCAATATTGTCGATGTTACCAAGGTCGATGGGGCTGCCGACTATGTAGGGACCATTGTCCTGGGCATCGGCTGTCCCGTTGGAGTTTGCGTTATGATTGTTGGAGTGATTTGGTGTCGGGGTACCATCCATGTGTGGTATCGATGATAAATCGGGGGGTGTGAATGGCCGGAGTGTTACGGGACTCCCCCGACGCACTGATTGCTTCATCGATGGGGCCGGCACCT